TGAGCTTCCAACACTGTTCCTCCTCATCACCCTGCCACATCAGCGCTTCTCAAGTTTTTCTGGGCCACACCACACGGCCTGCGGGGTCTTCCGTTGCGGAGCACAGGCTCCGGACGCGCAGGCTCAGCAGCCATGGCTCATGGGCGCAGCCGCTCCGCGGCATGTGGGATCTTCCCGGACCGGGGCACGAACCCGCGTCCCCTGCATCGGCAGGCGGACTCTCAACCACTGCGCCACCAGGGAAGCCCGGCCTGCGGGATCTTAGTTCCCTGACCAGGTGACGAGCCTGCACCCCTTGCAGTGGAAGCGCAGAGTCTTAACCACTGGAGCACCAGGGAAGTCCCAGCGCTTCTCAACTTTAGAGGGTATCAGAATGACCTGGAGGGCTTGGTAAGACAGGTCGCTGGGTGGAACCCCCTGAGTTTCTGATTCTAGGTCTTGCAGTGGAGCCTGAGAATTTTTATTTCTAGTAAGTCCCCAGATGAGCCTGATGCTGCCAGTCCTGGGAATGCACTTTAAAAACTGCTGAGCTCCATAATTGGACGACATCAGCTCCGCTCATCCAAGCCTATCACAGCAAACCTACATCCACGACAAGGGCCAGAGTGGAGAACCAGCCGGTCGGTGCCCCTGTGTCCTCGGATAGACAAAGGCAACTTGTTTCCAAACTTCTCAGATGCCAAAGGAGCCCGTTACTGAACCCTCTGGGCTGCTTTCCCCAGGGATTGGTGACAACTTTGGCCTCACAGTGAGACAAGCCTCATTCATAGGAGAGAAATGCAATACCCTTCATCAACAAACATTTCTTGAGTGTTTTCTATGTGCCAGCCATTGGGCTAGGTGTCTGGGATACATCAGTGAACAAAATAGATAAAAATCCCTACCCACATGGAGAATCACCTCTTTCTAATAAAAGGAAGAATAGAATTCTTTTTAAATGTGTTGAGTAGGACCCAGATACCTGGTTACTGGAAGTAATCAGGAGTCTTTAGTCAACTCAGTTTATAAACACTAGAGATTAAGGTCCAAGAGCTCCCTCCAGCAGAGACTAAAGGAATGCTCCAGTGAGATGAAACACCACAATAATTATCTTCATCTTTTGGACAATTACAAGGAACACAGAGTGCTTTGTTTTGCTTTATAGAGGATTAAAAAACCACTGGGGCATGGGGTGGGGGGGGAAAGCAGGGGGAACCCTACGAATCTAGGGTTCTGGGCATCTAACCAACTGCACTTTTTTAGGAAAGTATCCAGAGACTTTTGGCAAAGGCTGGTACAGGAATGGGGCATGCTTGTTTCCGTACAAGTTCTCTCCATAAGACACTGAAGCCTTTGGCAGTCCAGAATCCTCTCTATAAATTACAAATACAACTCTTCTGGAGGGCAAACACTTTCATCTTTGCCAGTGTCATGGATGTAATTCTTGGTCCACAGCTCAAGATGGCAAGGAATATATCTTTTTATAACTGTCGACTGAAAAAAATGCACAACCTAAAAGTTGAGAAGTATGTTTTATTTTGCAGACGAAACTGAGGACTTAAGCTCAGAAGCCAGCCTCTCAGATAGTTCTGAGGGACTGCTCTGAAGAGGTAAGGGAAGAGCCAGGCTATGTAGGAGTTTTTGCAACAAAGACCCCGTAGTTGGAACATCAAAAGATTACTGTTGGGACTTCCCTGGTGGCACAGTGGTTAAGAATCCGCCTGCCAATGCAGGGGACATGGGTTCGAGCCCTGGTCCGGGAAGATCCCACATGCCGCGGAGCAACTAAGCCCGTGCGCCACAACTACTGAGCCTGCGCTCTAGAGCCCACATGCCACAGCTACTGAAGCCCAAGCACCTAGAGCCCGTGCTCCGCAACAAGAGAAGCCACCACAATAAGAAGCCCGTGCACCACAACGAAGAGTAGCCCCCGCTCGCCACAACTAGAGAAAAAAACTTGTGCACAGCAACAAAGACGCAACGCAGCCAAAAATGAAAAAATAAAAGATTATTGTTAATTAAAGAAAACCAGACATCTCAAGTTAATGAATTTAGTGTGCTTTTCTGTGCATGGATGATGCAAGAGTCTGGGCTCACTGAAATCATTCCTTTGATATGCACCTTAGCTTAGCTATCTAGGGCCAGCATCCTGCTTTCTCCATCCTAAAGCCCCTCAGGGTGCACAGCTGGGGCGGCTGTAATGTGATGGCTTGATGGCTGCAACATCCTTTGTCTACTGATGTGGCAGGTGACATTTTTCATCCACATAATCCAACCTAATTTCTCTTTACATTCTCTTTACATTTCTTTGTATAATCCAACACAGAATTTCTTGTGAACTGTGTTCTGTTGAGGTGGTACATCCAGGCTTCATTTGAGGCTCGTCTCTCTTCCTGGGGACAGGGTTTCAGGTGTCAGGGTCCGGGCAGCTGGTGCTTGATGCTGTCTATGCATTCAGGCATCCACCGAGCCTTCCCTCATCCCACCTGGTATCCAGTTATGGGCCCACGTGTGTCATTGAAGCCTTGGCCCTTCAGCTCCGGCTGCTCCCTCCACTACGTATGGACCAGGTTAGAGGACACGGGAGTCTTCCTGCCTCCTCTGGGCCACATCAGGGCACCCACATCTCCGCAAGGCTGAGTCCCAGTCTATCTGGACTTACTACATAGTCATGGCCCATCCCTTTCTCATCTCCCGGGTAATCTCTTCGTGTGGGAGGAAAAAGCATTTACCCCAAACATCTTAGTTATGTGCAGCGTCCTTTCTGTTCTTCTAAGAACGTGTATTGTAGGTTTTTTTTTTTTTTTGCCGCACAGCTTGCGAGATCTTAGTTCCCCAACCGGGGATCGAACCGGCGCCGCCAGCAATGGAAGCGCAGAGTCCTAACCACTGGGCAACCATGGAAATCCCTGTAAAGGCTATTTCTTTTTCATGCAGCGCTTTCTCCCGGAGGCACATTAGAACCACGTGGGAAGCTTTTTTAACGCTCTCAGTTTCTGGATCCCTCTTTTACAGGGTTCAGTTATATTGTCCAAAGGGTATTGTCTTTTTTTTAATAAGATGTTGGGAGTAGGAGTTTATTAATTAATTAATTAATTTTTGCTGTGTTGGGTCTTCGTTTCTGTGCGAGGGCTTTCTCTAGTTGTGGCAAGCGGGGACCACTCTTCATCGCGGTGCGCGGGCCTCTTACTATCGCGGCTTCTCTTGTTGCGGAGCACAAGCTCCAGACGCGCAGGCTCAGTAGTTGTGGCTCACGGGCCTAGTTGCTCCGCGGCATGTGGGATCCTCCCAGACCAGGGCTCAAACCCGTGTCCCCTGCATTAGCAGGCAGATTCTCAACCACTGCGCCACCAGGGACGCCCATGTCTTTTTTTTTTTAAGCGCCCCAGGTGATTCTAATGCAAAGCCAGGGTTAAGCACTTTGTGGAAAGGGAGAGAGGGAAGGAGTGTGGCAAGAAGACTAAAGAGGGAAAAGAGGGGAAATTTACGATTTCAGAACTCTTCTGCTACATCAAGTAATCGCTAAGCAGGGTTAGTTATGGTGAGTTTTAAACAAAGCCCTGTTGTAACCAAGCAGGATGTTATGGGGCCTTCCCAGGACAGAACCCCTCCCCCACATCCTCTGCTTTAGCTCCTCTCTGAAGTGCCTAGATAATAGTATCTGGCGCACATTTCCTGAGTTGTTTTCCAGACGCTAAAACCACCACCAAACGGAAGAAATTAACTACTTGATGACCATGAGCACATAGCCCCCAGACCTACTGGAGCCTAAGGATTGTTAACCTCTGTGACACCACCCTGGCCAATCAGAGAATTGTGCATCCTGGGACTTCCCCTTCCTCATCGTGCCTTTAAAAATGCTTTCCTGGGACTTTCCTGGTGGTTCAGTGACTAAGACTCTGTGCTCCCCATGCAGGGGGCCTGGGTTTGATCCCTGGTCAGGGAACTAGATCCCACATGCTGCAACTAAGACCTGGTACCACCAAATAAATAAACATTTTTTAAAAAATAAAAATGCTTTCCTGAAACCCATCTGGGAGTTCGATCTTTTGAGTACTAGCTGCCTTGGACCCCTTTCTTGGTGTCCTGCAGTAAATGCTACACTCCTTCACCACAACATGATGTCAGTAGATTGGCTTTACTTCGGACCCAAGTCTGGCTCAGTAACACTTTTGAAAAGGAGCACATTAGAGAAGCTTGTGGGGAGATGCAATAGAGCTAGAAACACTCTGCTCCCTGCTACTCCCAGCGTGATCCTCAGACTAGCATCCTTGCCATCACCTGGGAGCTTGTTAGAACTCTCAGGTCCCACCCCCAGACGTCTGGCTTCTGTGAGGTACTGCTTGAGCCACTCCAGCTGCCCTCCATATCAACAGGGTCTACATCTGTGAATTCAACCAATTGCAAATCAAAAACATATACTTTTTAAAATTCCAGATAATTCTAAAGAGCAAAACTTGACTATCTCATACACCAGCAACTATATACATAGCTCTTACATTGTATTAGGTATTATGGGTAACATAGAGATGATTTAAAGTGTACAGGAGGATTTGTGTAGGTTGTATGCATTTTATATAAGGGACTTAAGCATCTGAAGATTTTGGTTTTCTCAGGGGCCCTGGAGCCAATCCCCCTGATTCCAAGGGATGACTATATTTTACTAAGGGCAGGCTCCTGGGAGGAGGCAGGTCTAATAGTGGGTTGTTAAGTGGTAGGAATTTCTGGAAAGCTTCATTCATTTCTGAGGGAACAGCAAGAAAATATTCATTCAAGAGGTGACTGTAGGTGCTGACACAGAGATGTAAAATGGACACAGATTTGGGTCAGTTTCTGCAGAATTAGAATCCAGTTCAGTTCACGTGTATCTCTGTTTTCTTTTTAAATGAGAAGAAAATCCTCAGTTCCTTAAGGGTCTGGACCATTTTTTCTCTGCTCAAAAGGTGACAGAAGTAGTGTTGTTGAACCCAAGTTCATGTACCCAACACACAGTGAGGCCATACAAACCAAAAACATCAGCGTTTGGAGCAGAGAAAGGTTTATTGCAGGGCCCAGCAAGAATGGGCCGCTTGCGTTCAGAAGACCCAAACTCCCAGACGGTTTTCAGGGAAGAGTTTTTAAAGGCAACATCTGGGGTGATGGCTGTGGGGTGTGTCACGTTCTCCTAATTGGGTGGTGGTGAGGTAACAGTGGTGTTCCAGGAATGTCAATCATCAACTTTCTGGTTCCAACCAGTCTGGGGTCTCAGCAAGTAGTCACCATGCTCCACCTGGGTGGTAGGGTTGGGGGAGGTCTTAGTTCCTATAAAACAACCCAAAGATCTATGTCAGATTGTGATGTATATCCCTTGAGGAGGAACTAGGACTCTGTTTCATGGCTGAACTGTTGTTTTTGACTGCTTTTCCTTTGCTTCTGCATTCCTTCACTTCTCTAATTAATAACTGCTTGAATCTGGTCTTTGGAACGCAGGGAAGGTGGAGGAGACTAAAGCCTTTTCCTACAAAAAGAAGTGGGGGAGGGGAATTCCCTGGTGGTCCAGTGGTTAGGACCTTGTGCTTCCCCTTCCCCTGCAGGGGGCATGGGTTTGATCCCTGGTCGGGCGGGGGGTGGGGGGAGGGAAAGGCTTTTGTACCCTGGCAGTTTCAATCCCCCTTTTCTCTGATGCTCCTCAATCTTTAGGGGAACAGGTACAGGACAAGAAAGGGAGGGAATAAAGTTTTGGATACAGAGGTTAACCATAAACTCGGCAGGGGAACTCGGTTTTGGGGGACTAGGTTTCAGTAGGTTAGTTCACTTTAATACCTGTCCTGGGAGTTCCCTGGTGGCCTAATGGTTAGGATTCCAGGCTTTCACTGCTGGGGCCCGGGTTCAATCCCTGGTTGTGGAACTGAGATCCCACAAGCCACGCGGCCAAAACAAAAACAAAAATAAAACAAAACAGGGCTTCCCTGGTGGCGCAGTGGTTGAGAGTCTACCTGCCGATGCAGGGGACACGGGTTCGTGCCCCGGTCCGGGAGGATCCCACATGCCGCGGCTGGGCCCGTGAGCCATGTCCGCTGAGCCTGCGCGTCCGGAGCCTGTGCTCCGCAACAGGAGAGGCCACAGCAGTGAGAGGCCCGCGTACCGCAAAAAATTAAAACAAAACAAAAAAACCTGTCCTGGTGTTACCCGAAAACTGGGTCTCCTCTTGGTGGATGTCGAGCCATAAGATACAACCAAGCCAAAGATAAGAAGAAGGAAGGATTTATTACTTGTATCAAGTAAAGAGAACACCAGGGATCTTTCTCAAAGTAGTGTTTCCAAACAGCAAAATTGGGAAAGTTTTAACCTAAGGGTACGTGCATGTTGTTGAAGGGGCTTGAGCAGTGGACAGTCCAAGCTTTAGTTGATTGAAGTCAGGAGGGTCAGAAAAGGTCAACATCATCATCCCTTAGGTTCCAGTTGATCTGGTGATTGAGCACTTGAGGAGAGACTTAAATTCTGCAAAATAGCTCAAGGCAGTGCTTTACGCTAGTCTTTACCATTGAAGTAGAACTGGGAGTCTACAACTGATTTGTTATCTTTGCCATTGTTAATTCTCTTGCCTGATAGGTTTGTCCTTTTGTTCCCTTAAGATCATTATTACAGTAAGTCCCCTACATATGAACAAGTTCCATTTGAGAGTGCATTCGTAAGTCCAATTTGTTCATAAGTCCAACAAAGTTAGCCTAGGTACCCAACTAACACAATCATCTATATAGTGCTGTACTGTAATAGGTTTATAATACTTTTCACACAAATAATACATAAAAAACAAACAAAAAATTAAAAAAACATTTTTAATCTTACAGTACAGTACCTTGAAAAGTACAGTAGTACAGTACAACAGCTGGCACACAGGCTGGCACTGAATGAACAGACAAGAAGAGTTACTGAGGGGCTTCCCTGGTGGCACAGTGGTTAAGAATCTGCCTGCCAATGCAAGGGACATGGGTTCGAGCCCTGGTCCGGGAAGATCCCACATGCCACGGAGCAGCTAAGCCCGCAAGCCACAACTACTGAAGCCCGCGGGCCTAGAGCCCACGCTCGGCAACAAGAGAAGCCACCGCAGTGAGAAGCCCGCACACCGGAACAAAGAGCAGCCCCTGCTCAATGCAACTAGAGAAAGCCTGCGTGCAGCAACGAAGACCCAACACAGCCAAAAATAAATAAATAAAATAAATAAATTTATTTTTTAAAAAAGAAGAGTTACTGACTGGAGGAGGGAGTGGAGGTGAGCGATGGTAGAGCTGCAGGGTCATCAGCAATAGGAGACAGAGGGCGAGCTGCCATTTCACTCATGCCGGATGTTGATGGCACAGGTTCTGGCTCCCTGCTGGAACTGAAACAGGAGAGAAGGGGGCAGGGCACCATCTTTAAAAGAATGACATAGCCCAGGGACACGACATAAACTAATTAGAACAGGTCCAAGATGGCGGACAAGCTGACTTCCACTAGACCTTGAGCTTCTGAATAGACCCATTGTAACACACCCACGGGTGCCATGACAGTTCCAAGGCCAACCATAAAGGTCAAAAAGGGGGCGGTGGCCCAATTCCTGGAAATATCCGCCCCTTCCCCAAAATCCTTGGAATAGTCCTCCCTTTCATTAGCCTATGAAATTACCCACCCCTATAACAACTGACAACCCTGTACCCTGGGGGCCGCTCTCACCTTCTGAGATGGCCCACACTCTGTCTGTGGAGTGTGTTTCTCTCTAAATAAATCCACTTCTTACCTATCACTTTGTTTCTCACTGAATTCTTTCTGCCATGAGACATCAAGACATCATGCAACAGACTAGCAAATTTAGCAGATGTTGACATTTTGCCCTATTGACTCAGGTTTTCTTTATAGAGGTAAAATGCCTCAGGAAAAAGGTGGGAAGATTTGTCTACAAAGCTATTTCTCCTTCCAGCCCTCTATTCACTTCTCAATCCATTGCAATGTGAATTCTGCCCCCACCACTCTATTACTCCATTGAAATCATTTAGGACTTTTAAAATGAATGTTACCAAACTAAACTTAGGTCTTCTGGCCAAATGTGCAGCAAATTCAATCTACCAACACCAGGATGTGGTGAAGGAAAATACAGCATTTATTGCAGGGCACCAAATGAGGGAGTGGGAGACAAGCTGCAGATCCACTCTCCAACTTGGTCTTTGAGTTTGGGGTGTTTTAAAGGGGAAGACCAAAGAGGCTGGGATTAAACACTGTCTTGTGACATTTCACATTTTGATTAAGAACACTGGTTCTGGGCTTCCCTGGTGGCGCAGTGGTTGAGAGTCCGCCTGCCGATGCAGGGGATGTGGGTTCGTGCCCCGGCCCGGAAGGATCCCACATGCCGCAGAGCGGCTGGGCCCGTGAGCCATGGCCGCTGAGCCTGCGCGTCTGGGGCCACAACAGTGAGAGGCCCGGGTACCGCAAAAAAAAAAAAAAAAAAAAAAAGAACACTGGTTCTTAATCATAGTTCCGAGAGTCAGAATGTCTCTGGTTTACATTCTGTGGCCAGGGTCTATTAGCTCATCTTGCCCTGGAGAAACAATCTGAGTTTGTACGTTAATGGTGATGTCTATAATAGCAATTTTAGTACATTAACGATGTTATTGACCACAGCAATTTTAATCATCTGACTCTGGTTGATTACTGTTCAGTAAACAAGGAATTGAGCTCAGAGGGGACAAGAAAGGGAATGAAGTTTTGGATAGAGAGATTAATCATAAATTGAGTAAGGAACTCGGTTTTAGGGGGACTTGGTTTCAGATCATTCATGACTTTCATTTAAAATGCAGATGCTGTCCAGGGTTCAATCCCCAGACCACTGCCCTTTGAAAACAATGCTATACCAGTGTTTTTCAAATTTGGGTCATCAAATCGATTTAGTGTGTCACTACTGGCATTAAAAAAAAAAAAAGATATAGGGAATTCCCTGGCAGTCCAGTGGTTAGGACTTGGCACTTCCATTGCCAGGGCCTGGGTTCAATCCCTGGTCGGGGAACTAAGATCCCACAAGCCATGTGGTACCACCAAAAAAACCCCCCAAAACAGGGACTTCCTTGGAGGTCCAGTGTAAGACTTTGCCTTCCAATGCAGGGGGTGCGGGTTCAATCCCTGGTCCGGGACCTAAGATCCCACATGCCTTGTGGCCAGAAAACCAAAACCTAAAAAGAAGCAATATCGTAACAAATTCGATAAAGACTTAAAAAAAAAAAGGTCCACATTAAAAAAAAAAAAATCTTAAAAAGCAAAATAAATAAATAAAAACCACTGAAGAGTATACTTAAAAAAAACAAAAAAAAAATACATGAACAAGATTTCTTTAATAGCTGGAAATTTTACATCATCTTATTTCCGTTCTTCTTCCTTCATAAGATAAAATGGAACATATATATATATGCACCCACATGTAAAAATATATAGGTAATTAATACATATGTGTATATATCTATTTTTTTTACTAAAGGCTAAATACTTCTCTGCAATAAAAATATGTATAAAAGTTGAAATTAAATTTTTATGTACTTTCTGTGACCATAAATCTCTAGTGTTAAAATATTTCTTCAATTATCAGTATACAACTGATCGAATAAACATAGTATACATTTTGATTACTAAACATAAAAATTAAAATTGTATTAGAGATGCAATTCTTAATGAGACTGAGGATTAGATTTTCAATTAATCCATATATCCATTAATATCGCTACTGCTAGAATGAGACAGGTTCAGCATCAATTCTATTCCTATTTTTCGTGTTTATAGATATAAGAGCTGACAACCTCTGTTTACATAAACAAGCAGATTCCCATTTAGAAATCAGTTCAACTCAATTCTTTCAACGACTTCAAAGTTCTATGCCAAATCACATGGTGATCTCTTAACAATTACTTTTTTTGTTGTTGTTTTGTTTTGGCCGTGTTGTGCGGCTTGCGGTATCTCAGTTCCCTGACCAGGGATTAAACCTGGGCCTCCACAGTGAAAGTGCCGAATCCTAACCACGGAATTCCCCAATTACTTTTTTGATTTAAATTTTCAATTAATTTTAAAGTCACAAAATTAAGCCGCCCATCTCTAGACGCCACTAGGAAACCTGCTCAAAGTGGCAGATCACGAGGGCAGTACAACAAACTACTTCTGGGGCGGGAAGACGTTTCCCACGTCTAACGGTGAGGAAAGTCTGCAATGCACATCACAGCCTTCAACGCCTCTAGGCTGCCAGCGCTCTCAAGGCGCCTCATCTGCGCGGTGATTTCGTCCCGGTCACGAAAATGCGCAGCGTCCACCCTGAAATGAAGTGAGTCCTAGAGGCAATCCAACGAGTAATCTCACCTCCTCCGCCTTCACGTGGCTCGGTCTGTATCTACCCAGCCCCGAGGCCCCGCCCACCTCTGTCTGCCCTCCCGACCTTAAAGCGGGCTTAGAGCGCGCCTTCCCTTGGCAGGCGGTGTACTCACTGAGAATCTTCACTATTTGAAGGTTAGAGGGCCAGTGAGCAACTCGCGCGAGACGCAGACAGTATTCTCGCGAGAAGCCTGGGAGGCGGCAGTGATGGCGGCGGCGGGAACCGTACCCGGCCCGGGAGTGAATGCAGGACCCGGCCCGGCAGTGGCTGCAAATGCAACACCGGCAGAAGAAGGGGAAACGAAGCCGGTAGTAGCGGTAGCAGCCGCTCCGGCCGGGGAGGGGACGTCTGCTGCTCCAGCCGCGGAGCCTGGCTCTGGAGAGGCCGAAAGCGGGTGAGACGTCCTGCAGCCCGAGGAGGACAGAGGGAGGGAGGGGGACGGGGGGGAGGGGAGGGGAGGGAGGCCCGCCCCTCTCGGAATCCCGCGGCTCCCGGGAGCACTCCGGCCCGCCCCTTCCGAACCCAGGCCCTGCGGCCAGCCGCTCGCCCTGCTCCCTCCCGGATCTTAGTCCCGCTCGCCGCTTGGCCTGTCCCCTCTGAACTGTATCTCGGGCTACGCCTCTTTCGCATCTTTTAGGCCAAGTTTCTCCTCCTACCTCCCGGCCCTTGCACACCAGCAGGGTGCGGATAGGTCACTTTCTAGCAGGAACCCTTCAAAAATCCCAGAGAGGAAACCACTTTGCGCTGCCAGACTGGTGGAAGTAATGGTCCCTCTGAAAACAGAGCGGAAAAGCTGCATCTCTTCGAACCTCCCCCAGGACCAGTTCCATCCCCTGTAGACTTGTCTGTAAGGGCCGATTAGGTTTCCTTGATGCGCCATGGGCTTATCTTGGCCGCATTCTTCCTAATGCTGGGCATCCAGTCTGAGAAAAGTCTTTGCTGAAAAAAGTAGGAGTGTGAAGTTCAGCTGTACTTTGATCATTATCTTTGGGAATAGGCGTTTTCAGGTGTGTTTCTCTTGAAAATTCTTCTTTCTGAGTGCTTTCCTTATTTTACAGGGATGCAAACTCAGTTGATGTAAGTGGTGGCTTGGAGACAGAATCCTCTAATGGAAAGGATACACTAGTAAGTATTTGTTTTGGATGTTTGCAAAGCAAAATAGGGTTGGTTTTTAAGCGAATCAGAAATACAGTCAGGTCAACTAACTTGATTCTCTCATGGTTCTGTGGACACAGGAAGGTGCTGGGGATACTTCAGAGGTGATGGATACTCAGGCGGGCTCCGTGGATGAAGAGAATGGTCGCCAGTTGGGAGAGGTGGAGCTGCAGTGTGGAATATGTACCAAATGGTTCACAGCAGACACCTTTGGCATAGATACCTCGTGAGTATTTTTCGTAGACTTTGTAAGAATCACTTTGTAAATGTTAGATCTCAACACGTCCAACAGTTGAATAGTCACTGTCTAGGCAAACGTAGATGCGTAGTGTTTCCTGTGTCTCCTGACCCCTGTTCAGTGAGTAGTAGGATTTGAATCAGGAATTGTTTTAATAGCCTGAGCATGTCTTCTCTCTACTAAGGGCAAGCCCTTAACAGGTATAATGATAGTTATTATCCCTGTGTTTGCACTTAGGGCCTGGACGGGAGACAAACCATGTAATTACAAAGCATTAAATAAACAAATTTGAGACAATGTCATTTAAACCTTGTATTGGGTATTGTGGATTTGGGAGAAAGGGTTGGTGTATATGGTGGAAAAAGCCTGATGTCAAAAATTTGAGATGGCCAGTCCTCTTCATGCCTGAGCCATCCTTTTTTTCCTTTTGGTTTCTAATTCACTCCCTTTACTTGTCCTGAATTCTCTCCTCAGCAAAACCAATTTCCAGTCTTTAAACCTCGTCTAGTGAATTAAAACCATTTTATGAACGATTGAGAATGAAAGGCGCCTTTACTTATTCTGAGTATTCGGTCAACAGCTAGCAAGGCAGCATTACTGACTCACTGTCTATGGAAATAACTATACTGCTGCCTCTCTGGGGTGTTCTTTATGGTCCATATTATACAAATAAATTTAGATAAGACTGTCTCAGAATAGGGCTGTGTTGTTAATTCTGAAATTAATCCCCCTTGGATGGGTTTGTGAAGAAATAACCTTCCTTTATAATTTGATGACTGCTTTCTAGTTAAAAAGTTAAAGAAATACTAATGTTTTTATTAATATGTGACTGGTGAGGAAGGATAGAATGTTTAAAAAAGAAAGAAAATTACTGAAGGATCAGGAAGAAGTGATCTCGGTAGAAAGACCTATAGGGAAAATATATAAGCTGGTCAGTTAGACCTAAAATTGGGCCACTTTTGCCAAGGAGAATTTGTTTGGATAAACAGGGTTTAGGAAAGGAAATTTATCAGAGTGATAATGTGGAACAATCCAGCAATGAATCAAACCACCGTTCAGAGGTTTGGTAGAGACCAGTTTGTACCTGAATTTGAGAAGTTATACCTAAAACCCAGCAGGTGGGACAGATTATCGTTTATGGCTGAGATGGAGGAAGTGAGTGAGCTAGCCGGGTATGAAAAAGGCTGCTCTAAACACTTGATTGTGTTTGAATTAGGTAACTATATACCTGCCTATCTCTTCTGTAAGTGAGCTTATCACAATGGACTGTTTAATGGAAGGGGCTCTAGAGAGAGGTAAAGGTAAGGGAACTCGATCTTAACAGTCCTAAGGATATTTCTTAATTCCTTGAGTGGTGGCAGTAGACACACATTTGGGAGCATCTCTTTAAGGATACCTTAAACCAGTTTCAGCAAAGTCCAAGATAAACCTGCCTTTATTTTGATTGCTTCTCTTCCAACTTAAACCAGTCTTTTGTTTTTCTTTTACTTTCTCCTTTTCAGGACCAAGCTCTCCCTATACTTTTCCAGTCACCCAGTACAGCCACGACACTTCTCTAATGCATGGTTCCTGTTAGCCCTCAGTCTCTCCCTCCACCAGTTTCTTCCTCTCTGCCTTCAAACAGGCCTTCTCTTGCCCCCAGCTCACCTCTTAGGAGATTTCCTCTATGATACAAGCAGTCTTAGTGGTTAGGACTCTTTTTATTTCATGCCCGCCCCCGTCAAATCAGCTACCAAGCTTGACCAATTTTTTTTCTTCTTGTGCACTTGCTTGTCCTTTCCATTTTTATTGTTTCACTCGAGGTGAGGTTTTTTTTTTTAACCTTCTGCTGGAATGGCTACAGAAGCTTCTTCCATATTCCCGTTTCTAATCTCTTCTTCCCTTCAGACCCATCCTATCACTAAACTTACTGCTTTCACAAGGTGGCTTCCCCTTCAAGATGTTCCTGTTACCCACAGAGAAGATCCACTTCCACGGGCATGTAAGGCCTCTTGTACTTCTTACCTTTCAAGCCTTATCTTTTACCATACCCCCGACAACTCCCCTCCCCTGGCCAAACTTGTGTACACCAGTTTGCCACTTTGCCTCCTAGTTTGCACTTTCTCATCTCTACACAAAATAGTTTGCCTCTAGAAAAGAAAACCAACTCATCTTTCCAAATCCTAATTTGTGTCCTCAAAAAATCTTCCCTAACTCTTAAATCTGAAGTTACTACTTGGGTCCTTTAAACTCTTAAATAAGACTAACTGTCATCTGTAGGATTCATTTGGTAATGAGGCAGGTCATGTTTTGTGACTTCTGTGTTGTTCTTGAATAACTATTTACATTTTAAAATTAATCTTTTTATACCTGTCTGCCCTTTCCAACAATGGTATTGGCACTTTACAAAGATACTTGAACATAATATAAATACAGATATTTAAATGTAAAGATATTTAAAGAGACTACTTTGTCTTCTTCCACAAGTCGCCTGGTATACTGTTTTAGGTGCTTACAAACTATAATAAACTAGTTGGATAGGGCTCAGGTCAGAACCTTGCAGATGCCGAATTATCAACTATAGTGGATAATGTCTTACTAAATTTTTGTGACAGAAAAATCCAGGTATTTGTAAAAATATGAGCCCTGTTTTGGTGACCTTTTTTTTGACCCTGCTGCGCAGCATGTGGGATTTTAGTTCCCCGACCAGGGACTGAACCTGTGCCCCCTGCAATGGAAGCGTGGAACCCTAACCACTGGACCGCCAGGGAATTCCCTTGGTGACCTTTTTAAGTTTTAAGAGTATATTAATACATTAGCGTTATTATGTAACTTTCACTGAGGGAGAGGATCCCCGTTGATTTACTTCTCATAAGTGTGTGTTCAGAACTTCACTAATTTGCACAATTTGGCTGTTCTCCAGATCCTGTCTACCTTTCATGACCAACTACAGTTTCCACTGCAATGTATGCCATCATAGTGGGAATACCTACTTCCTCCGGAAGCAAGCAAGTAAGGACAAACTCCGGAGTACTGCAAAGTGACTGTCCTCTGGTTAGCTGGCAAAGAAAAGGGATTTGGGCTCAGCCGAATCAGGAAACCTTTGCTTGGTAGCTGGTAGAAGTTACCTTGGGGCTTAGCTCTGAATAATTGCTATTGTCCATTTCAGATCAAATGATGACTCTATTCTTTGCTGCTGTGGTTGTTAATCTGTGGACCACCTAGTTAAATATTCTTTTGGTAACAGGGATATATTACTACAGGTAACTTTTTCTTCCTTTTTGTTTTTATAGACTTGAAAGAAATGTGCCTTAGTGCTTTGGCCAACCTAACCTGGCAGTCCCGAACACAGGATGAACATCCGAAAACCATGTTCTCCAAAGATAAGGTAGAGATAGAATTATTGTAATTGCAATTATGCCGGAGAATCAGGAGGAACTTCTAAATACAGTGGACCCTTGAACAGCATGGGTTTGAACTTCACTGGTCCATTTATATGCAGGTTTCTTTCACTAAGTACATCCTACAGTACTACACATTTCAAGGTTGGTTGAATCCTTGGATGTAGAACGACGAATACAGAGGGCTGACTGTAAACTTACATGAGGATTTTTGACTGTGTAGACAGTCGGTGCCCCTAATCCCAGAGTTGTTCAAGGGTCAACTGTACAGTCTAACAATAAGTTCTTTCCCCCCAATTTTTATGAATATATGACTAATTCAGTGGTTACTTTGTTCTCATTTCATGTGATTTACTAACTTCCTAGTGTGTGCTCATTGTGTCATTGGCTTAGCTATTAGAAGGATGAATCCTTATATTAAAAAAGAGTGTATTTAAAAAAAAAAGATAA